AAAAAAGAACTTCCTTATTTCCTGATAACCATTACATCCAAAGTCTAGAATCATGCTCAATACACAACAGGCAGAACAAATTGCAGAATCCTGTTAGAATGGTAAATAGGGGAGAAAAATTTGATGGGGGAAAGACAGAGAGGAAAATTTGGAGCGAGGGCCACAATAGAGATGAATGAGATATTTCATGGAAGGCTCTTCGTACCCAAAACTCAACATGAAGCAATCCCTTTTTCAGAGGCTTTAAATGGGCATGGAAGAGTGCCAAAAATAGTTAACTACTATATATAGTTTTGTCTATGCTTGGCTTCTGTGTCTTCAATACGAGAGGCATTCCAAAAATATTTGTGGACATGACTGTGGCAGAGGACTCCATACAGATTTTTAAGCACTGTGGAATTTGGGGAGGAAGCTTTCATTTACTAAAGTTAAAAAGCCAAATTTTATTTCCTAAATTAATGATCTTATTCTAAAAGCCAGAAAAGCAAGTGAATGCTTTTAATTTGACAAATTTTTTTTTCTATTTTAGAAAATAAAGAACTTGATAAACTTCAAAGTACGTATCAAAATATTTCAGCTTTGATTCAATTATTTTGTTCCCTTGAAACTAAACTGAGCTCTTAACTACTGTGTTTTATTTACAGGTTATCCAAATTGGAATCCACCAGGGAAAGCACCTCAGCAGAGAGCATGTAATCTCCTGTGCCTCATTTATGTTCTGCTGAGAATGTTTTAATTTTCATTATTGTGCAAGAGAAATTCTTAGCCATGACAATACAGGAGTCATTTATAGATAAATGTAACTCTCATAGTTTAATTATTAAAAGTTTACACTCTTATCTGTTATCTAAATTTAATGTCTGTTTTTAATTCAAAAGATGTATTGCAGCACAGAAAGGTTGCAGTAAAAAAAAATCTTAAGGTTATTTTTTAAAATTACAATTTTACATGTATCAAAAAAGTTCCATTCTCTAACATTCTAAATTGTCATTTTAGTTACAATAGACCTAAAGAATTAAACATTTCAGATATTAGATATTTTCCTTATATACCATATACTCCACCTCCTGTGACTATATACATAATATATATATATATATTTAATATAATATAAATAAGGAAATGTCAACTATAAATAAATATGTTTATTTATTTATAGTTGACATTTCCTTTAAGAATACCACCAACAATACTCAGAAACAAAATATGGGGGCCAGCCCAGTGGCTCGTTGGTTAGAGTTGGCTTGGGAGCACGAGCTCTGAGCAGCAGGGCTGCCGGTTCGGATCCCACATGGGCCAGTGACGCTGCACCCTTTACAGCTAAGATGGTGAACAACAGCTTGACCTGGAGCTGGGCTGCCGTGAGTCGACAGCAACGGCGTAGGCTGCAGTGGGGCTGCAATGGGCTGCCATAAGCTACCGTAAGTGGCTGGCACCCGGCGTGAGCTGCCATGAGCAGCTGTCCAAGGGCTGGTGAGCGACTGCCTCAGCCAGGAAGAGTACAATGATCACAATACCAACATGGGCCAGTGAAGTGATGTCCTCCACAACTAGACTGAAGAACAAAAGGACAGCAACTTGTCTGTTCCCCTTCCCCGATTCCCCAATGCTGTTACCTCCCCCAATTCCCCAATAAAATCTTTAAAACAAAAAAAGAAACAAAATGTTATTAAGGTAAGCTTCAGAGAGCATGTAATGCTATATTATTGACATAATATTTGGGGAAATGGATAAGAACAGATTAAACTGAAAAGGGAAAATCAACTAAATTAAAATTTTTTGAAAGATAAATGCATGCTCTGAAAATTAAAATCACACTCTTTCAAGAAATTTTATTTTTAAATGTGCCCTGTATTAAAACAATAGAATTCAGATAGCATATCTTTTAAAACCCTATAAAAAATTATCTGTAGTATAGTTAACATCTCTACACACCAAAGACTTGCTCAATTCTGGCATTTGAGCAATTCTGGCACTTGTTTGAAGACCAAAAAAGAAAAAAAAAATCCCAGGTTATTCAATTAACTCCATTTTTAAAATCCTTTATGTTCAATTATTGACTCCTCTGGACTAAATTACACCTTTTCCTTCTCAACTAAAGCAACCACCAATTTCCCTCAGCTATAAACATTAAAAATCATTTTTAAATATATTTTTAACATGACTAAGAATGAATATATATATATATATATACATATATATATATATTGCCAAATACTTGGGAATTTCCACATTGCTGAGTGATTGAAGCTACTCTTACAAATGAAACCAACGATTTTGTATTTCAAATCTGCTAGTATTTTGTATTTCAAATCTGCCAGATTCTTCAGAGAAACAGAACCCACAGGGGAGAGATTGACAGAGAGTGATAAAAAGAAAAAGAGAGAAAGGGGGGTGAGATTTTAAGAAATTGGTTTACATGATGTGGTGAGTAGCAAGTCTGAAATCTGTAGGGCAAGCTGGCAGGATGAAGATTCAAGTAAGAGTTGCTGCTGCAGCATTGAATCTGAAGATGGAAAATAAGACAATTTATTTTGCAATCTAAAGGCAATAATTCTGCAGGAAATCTCTGTCTTTGCTCTTAAAACGTTCAATTGATTGGATGTGACCCACCCATATTATGGAGGATAACCTGCTTTACTTAAAATCAACTGATTACAAATGTTAATCATAACATTACAGCAATATCTAGACTAATGTTTGAGCAAACACTAGCCACGTTAATACATAAAATTAACCATCACATTCCTATTTGGTATCATATATATGGAGTCATTATCTTCTTAGTAAACTACTTCTACTTGTTTATTGCATTGTTAAAATTTGAATTTACATTACTCCTTAACTTGCAATTTGAAATAGGCTAAAGGTAAAATGACATATATAGAGTATACTTTTATATCAGTTGTATTGTCTTCATGGGTTTTTAAACATTTTCATTAAGAATTTAAATATCCTCTGATTTTTAATATAACCACTTCCTTACTTCTTCAGATTCCTTATTCATCCAAGCACATATAAGCTCCTTAAATCAGATCAATTAAAATTCTACAGAACACATAAGAAATTAATTTTTACAGAATTATATTCTCTGATTTTGAAAAAATATTTGTCAGAGAATATTCAGTTGACACTGCTACAAGAACTTACAAGTAGTGGGGAGTTTATTTGCAGTGTCTATCTATACTTAAGGTTTGATCGAAGGTGGGCAGGTGGAAGGCCTCTCTGCCTTAGTAGTGGAGTTTCCCTTCACTGGCAAGAAGATAAAATTCTGAACCAAGAAGATATATTTTCTATTTCTTGTGATCATAACCACAGGCTCCTGACAGGTATCTTGCAATTCTTTTACTACAAAGGGATCTTATTCTTAACAGTAACTGTAAGTAACACTCCTATTTCACTCACAATGGGTTTACTAGACTAACTGCTCTGGGCTTGGCCTTTTCAAATTATGGAAGACAGTTAAGCCAGGGGTTGAACAGTGCACTTTTTGTCCTACTAAGCTACATCTGAAATTCCCATAAATTGCCTAATTACTTGGAGGTAAAGTGATCAGACTTGTCAGTCAGCTGGACCAGGTTTATCCCATTCTTACCACTTTGGAACGATATTGAGGAGGTGGTTTAAAGTAGTTCCTGTAATTTTTTTATTATGCATCCCTATCATTAAAAAACTATTCTGGCGTGACCAACAGTTTCAGGTATACAAAACAAAGTAACAGACATCTACATCCCTCACAAAGTGATAAGCCCCCCAATCTACTGCCCATCTGACATCGAATATAGCTGATATAGCTGTTAAAATTCCATTGACTCTATTCCCTATGTTGTACTCCACCTCATATATATATATATATATATATATATATATATATTTTATATATATATATATTTATATATATATATATTTTTTACATTCAATATTATTCAACTTCAGCTTCAGTCATATAAGCACAGTGGTCAGGCATCTACACAGTCACGCTGAATATTCATAAGGTTAATATTTAGTTAGCATACATTAATGAGTGAGGTGTCTAGCAATGGCTGCCTGAGAGATGGTGACTTCCCTGCTGGTGTAATTATTTAAGCAGAGTATATTATGATCACTTATGAGTGATGTGTCAGAGAATAAGCCTAATACATGGGACTAGTAAAAGTGCCTACAAATTCTTTGTAATCTAAGATAGCAAACATTATTCTGTTTATCTCATGCTTTACTACATCAGTTTTCATAATCTAACAACAGTACCAACATAATAAAGGAATTCCATCTTTCAGCGCTTGCCACCTTCACCCCTTAAATAGGCTCTGGTGGTACTAAAACACTAGGCCTTTTCAGCTCTCTGGGTATATCACACGCTTTTTCCTTTATTTTGAATGCACTCTTTCACCTGTGTGCTTCACTTTCTTGACAACACATTCTCCAGAAAGGCTTCCCTGGTACTCAGAAATGTTAGTTGTCCCCTATATGCTGCAATAGCATTTTGGCTTTTCATTTTTTCACATGGTATAAAAGTTGCCAATTTGCTTGCTCTCTAAACTGTAAGCTACTTAAAAACAGGGTCTGTGTTTGTCTACTGGTCTTTCTCAACTCCCTAACACGTTGCCTGGTAATTAATATTTACTAAAAGACTAAAAGGAATGAATAAAACCATCTTGTGAAGTCTATTGCTTTCAATTGTCTACACCAGAGGTCGGCAAACTGCGGCTCGCGAGCCACATGCGGCTCTTGGGGTACGTTCCATCTCAAAAGTTTGCCGACCCCTGGAAGAGCCAATCCTGTCCCTCACAACAATTTAAAAATTATTCGAGTTAAGAGCTCGCTCAAGAGTTTGAGCTCTGAGCAACAGCGGTTCGAGTCCCGCCCGAGCTGAGCAGCCGCTGAGCTGCCAACAGGTGGCAGGATGGCTCAGCTAAAAAAAATAAAAATAAAATAAAATAAAAATTATTCGAGAGCCATACATATATTTTTACATAATCACCATTATGTGAATAATATCCTTTAAAATTTTTATAAAACTGTGATAGTTTTATTTTCATTTTCAATTTTACTTCAGAGCCTGTGGCTCACGAGGCGCAGTTTGCTGACCCCTGGCAGCTCTTCCATCTCAAAAGTTTGCCGACCCCTGGTCTACACCATAGATAATTTTTTAAGCACATTTCTTTTTAGATATTTTGGCCAACCAGTCTCATTGCTTTCCTTGTGGCAAAATTCTTCCCAAGTGTCACTGATTTTGAATATCTCCTTAATGCTATCAAGCACAATATGTTATATGCAACTGTGTACCCCCAAACAAACATATAAACATATGCTTTTATTTTGTGCCTACAACTTACATGCTTCATAGCAAGTTCTCTTAAGCAAGATGTTTGGAGGTAAAAGCCCAGGCCAAAATCTGCTAGAACCCTAGCCATTTTTGTCTGAAAGAAGAAATGAAATTGAGTTCTTACTTACTGTGAACTGGGCAATTTCTCACAGAAGATTAATATTAATATTCCAGGCTGCCTATAAAATGCTGGTGAGAGAACAGATGGAAATATTTTAACCTTATGAGAATTTGATGATCTCTAGTTTAACCCCTAAATGCTGGGCTTTCCAAATTTCCATTTATTTTGTGGTTTCCCACAAAGTATTAGAACAGAGAGAAGATCTCAGTGAGGAAGTCTGCCTTAAAGGGGATATTTTTCTGTCAATGAGGAAACTAAAAGGGCGCATCCTGCATTAAATTCCCAATTC